GTCAAATAAAATCTTTTTTTTAAAGATTGTATTTATTTATTTGAGAGAGAGAATGAGAGAGAGAGAGCATGAGAGGGGGGAGGGTCAGAGGGAGAAGCAGACTCCCTGCTCAGCAAGGAACCTGATGTGGGACTCGATCCTAGAACTCCAGGATCATGACCTGAGCCGAAGGCAGTCACTCAACCAACTGAGCCACCCAGGTGCCCCAAATAAATAAAATCTTAAGCATGTGCGCGCGCGCGCGCACACACACACACACACACACACACACTCACACACACACACATTTGTCCTATCACTGGTTCTGTGGGTCAGGAGTCCAGGCATGGTTCAGCTGGATCCTCTGCGAGGCTGAAATCAAGGTGTTAGGTAGGGCTGGGTTCTCTGAACTGGGCGGAAAGGTCTGCTTCCAAGCCACTCGGGTTGTTGGCAGAATTCAGTGCCTTGCTGTTTTAGGACTCAGAGCCTCCCTCTGGTCCTGGCTGTTGGCTAGAGGCTGCCTTCAACTTCCAGAGGTTAGAGGCAAGTCACACTCAAAGGGAAGTGATTATAGAAAGGCATAAACGCAAGGAGGCAGGAATTATGGGGTCACATTTAAAGTCTGTGTACCATAGATGTGATACTGGTATTAAAGTAACTGTTTTTTTTTAATTGAAGTATAGTTGACATGGTTACTTTCTTTAAGAACCCTCGTATTTTAGGGCTAAATCCTGAAATATTTGCCAATGAAAGTATATGATGTCTGTCAATGGGTTTGCTTCAAAGAAATGGGTTTGCTTCATGATAATCCAGAGGGGGAGGAGAAGTAGGTGGAGGCATAAATAATTGGCCATGAGTGAGAAATTGTTGAACCTGGGTGATACATTCATCAGAGCTCATTACATATTCTCTATACCTCTGTATGTGTTTGAAATTTTCGGAATAAAATTAAAAAATGAATAAAGAGTGTGTGTATTAGTTATCTATTGCTACAAAACTACCTCACAACGTAGTCATTTAAAATAAACATTTATTATCTCGGTTTCTGTAGGTCAGGAATTTGGCACAGCTTAGGCTGGTGCCTCTGGTTCAGGGTCTCAGAGGGCAGAGTCAAGGTGTCAGCCGGACTACAGGCATCCGAGTCTTGACGGGCTAGAGGGTCTGCTTCCAAGCCCATTCATGGCTCTGTTGATCAGCCTCTCCTTAAGGCAGTTCACAAGGGGCAAGTGACTTCTCACAGAGCAAGTGACAAGAGAGAAAGACACACACACATCTACCAAAACATAAAATGCAGTTTTTTTTATAACTTAATCTCAGAAGTAACATACCGTCACTGCTGAATATTCTGTTGGTCACACAGACCAACCCTGGTGAAACGTGGGAGCAGACTACACAAGGGTCTGAGTAGCAGAAGATGGGATTGTTGAGAGCCATTTTTGAGGCAAGCTACCATACACAGTGCATAAGGCAAAAACTGAGTGCTGTCCAAGTTATCCTTGAAAATCCTGTAAATAACCTATAAAACATAGTACAGTGATATCCCAGGGAACAAGCCCAATACTGCCAGGTTTTTCTCTGGTGCTGGAACACCTCACTGTTTTGTTGAGTACTAGATAAAGTTGTTGGCTTGAATTATGGACCATGGTTGTTCCAAAAATAAATGTATTTTTTAAATTTTTTAAAAGATTTTATTTATTTATTTGAGAGACAACGCTCAAGAGAAAGAGCACAAGCAGGGGGAGGGGCAGAAGGGAGAGAGAGAGAAGCAGATTCCCCGCTGAGCAGGGAGCCTGATGTGGGGCTCGATCCCAGGACCCTGGGATCATGACCTGAGCCGAAGGCAGGCGCCCAACTGACTGAGCCACCCAGGTGCCCCCCAAAATAAATGTATTTAAAACTAAAATCGCATTTGGTCATGCCATGAGCATATATAGTTAAATTCAAGTAAATTAAATGCATTATGATGGGATTCTAATGCATTGTTAAAGTGGGGAAGCTTATGTCTTGGTGACATCTGCAATTTAGATCCATTTTGCTGACTCTCCTCATTTCAGCTCCACAGTCATGAAGCCGCTTTCTGATTATAATTTATTTATTTATAATTATAATTTGGCTTCCCAAACAGATATGCAAATGGAGAGAAAATGCTCTAATCTAATCCATTCTGTGATTACACTTCTCATATAAAAAATTGGTATTCTGGCTCTATACATCAATCTCTATGCACTAGTTAAATGTGAATGTACCCCTGAAAGATGGATTCGCTCTTGGTACATTTACATAATAGGCTTCTAAGCCTGCACCCCGATCCCTTGGACTGTGATGAATTTACCTAAGTAATGCCACCCTAGCGGGTACTGTCTGAGTGACCTAAAAATCTCCCCCAAGTGTGGCAGCTATATTTACCATATGCAGAATATATCCATGAGCTCCCCCACATTTCTCAGGTCCCTTGCTCTTAGATGGGGGTATATGACCAGTTGCAGCCAATAAGCTATGAGCAGAACTGACACCTATCACTTCTGAGGCAAACAGAGTGAGACTGCCATACACTCCTTCCTCCTGCTGCAGCACCCACGAGGCCACATGTTGAAATAGCAGAAGGCAATATCAGCCTGGGCCCCTGCAGGACCATGGAACAGAACCCCTCCTGACTTGTACTAGACAAGTGATAGGAATGAAAATAAAAGTTTGCTATATTAGGCCTCTGTGATTTTGTAGGGAGGTATTTCCTACATTAAGATAACTCAGTCTAACTCAATATGCCAGGGGATGCCGACTTTGATGGGAGTGCTTTTTTCAAGCAATGGCAACATTATACTTGAGTGCTGGGATACATCTCTAACAATCTCCCCACACATTCCCCTATGCCCACTCTTAGTAAGATCAGGTAGGTAAGAGGTGGGCAGAAGCCGAAGAAACGGGAAACCTGTACCCTGAAACCCGCCCTACTCATATCAGCAAAAAACTCAGTCTGCACAGTATGCTAATTCTAGAAGCTCTTTGCTCCTGCTACCCACAGATGTCATTTCATTTCTTCTTATTTATCTATTTAGGTATGCCTCTCCTGCCCCCACCCCTGCTTCCTCGGCTGCTACTTCTGGAGCACTATGGCCCCTACAACCACTCAACCTTTGACCAGGTTGACCCAGTAAACACAGTAAGTATGATCAGTTGCCCTGGCTATTCTGACTCAACTGTTCATTTCTAAATGGACAATTTTTTAAAAGTCACTTACAAAAGTGAATATAGAGTTTAAAAATATAGGATGAAGGGGCACCTGGGTGGTTCAGTCGGTTAAGCATCTGCCTTCAGCTCAGGTCTTAGGCTCCTGGGATCGAACCCCGAGTCGGACTTCCTGCTAAGTGGGGAGTCTGCTTCTCCCTCTCCTTCTGCCCCTCCCCAACCCCCACCTCGCTTATGCTCTCCCTCTCTCTATATCAAATAAATAAATAAAAATCTTTAAAAATATAGGATGAAAAGTCAACTCAGATGTTTGAAATAGCAACTTTCATGCAAAAAGAATTCAGAATCACCTCAGGGACTTGTATCCCAAAAATATCTATTAAGAACTTAGAAGGAAATTAAGAGTATGCTTATTGCGATGAGCCCTGGGTATATAGAATTGTTGAATCACTATATTGCACACCTGAAACTAATATAACACTGTATATTAATTATACTGGAATTTTAAAAATAAATAATTTTTGAAAAGAACTTAGCATACATTGGGGAGATAAAATTCAGACCCTTACAACTATGCATTTATATAAAATCATTCATACAATTCAGTTCAAGGTGGAGAAAACTTTGCACTTTGTGAAAACCTTCCAGTGATTCTTACCCGTGGTGTAACCCACTGATAAGTTGGGAGAAGGGGTGAGCTATGTGGCAGGTCATTGGTTACTCATTAAGCTAAAGCCCTGAAGCCAGTGAATTGTTTACTTCATTGCAAATAAGGGGAAACACAAGATTACTGCTAGAATAAATTCACTGTCACATGCCTTAGCAAAAATAAATAAAAATAGAAAGCGTGGTAGCAGTAAGGTGACAAAAATTGGGACACTACGGGAATTTCTAACTGATTAGCTTGCAGTTTTTGAGATGACTGAGAATTGCCATCATTGAGATCACCTTAAACAAACACTGTTAATGACTTGAAAAAGTCCCCATCCCAAAGTCAATTATAGCTATTCAACATTACAGATTTAACTGAATTGAAAATATGTTAGAACCAATTTATTAAGGTAAGAGAAGAATGCTTTTTAAGTTACACTCTAAAACTATACATCAAGATAAAGATATTATATTGCTTTTAGTGTTTAATTTTATCACCACAGTAATACATATACATTTTTTGAAATATCTGGGTTTTTGGGTTATTCTGTTATATGTCCTGATTTTTTAGTTATTGAACATGAGTGTGTTCCAATAAGGGAAATAATTTTTTAGGTGCATTAAAATGACTCCCAATCTTACCCCCCCCACACACACATATGAATAGTTGTCACCTTTCTATCTTCATGATCCATCTTAGTCCATATACATTCATATTGTCCATAGATATAAACATAACATTGCCAACATTTTGTAGTCCACTGTAATTCCCTTTCTTAGTATTGTGTCATGAGATACTTTCCAATATTTCCACATAGTTATTGCGTCTTTTTAATGGCTACAAAATAGTCTATCAGATACTCATACCTAAGTTTAAATGATTTGATCTTACTCCTCATAAATGTACTCCTCATTCTGTGATTGGTAGTCATAATCGAAGGTGACAACATCATTCTTTGTTACTGGTTACTTCTATGTCAAATACACTCACGGGCAGAGCCAAAACTCCATTAATTAGTCAGGAAGCACGATGAAATTTCCATTAATATGTCTTCATTTTTCTATTTCTAACATGAGGATGAAGTGAACTGCTGTGCAAGTTTGGTAAAGGCAGCCGCTTACATTTCTTTTTGTGCAGAAAATACTTAGTCATTCAAAATCGCAGCATCGAACCACAACCACCTCTAGGCTGTCAGTGTGCCCTCTAGAACAACAGCAGTGCAGCCCCTAATGTCAACCCGTCCATCAGGACGCAGTGAAATCTCCAGCTCTCCTCCTCGGTGGGAACACTGAAAGGCTAAAGAAAACATAAAACAAGTCACGAGTTAATATTGTTCATCTTCACCCTTTCTAATTCACAGAACATAGTGAAAGTCCTCTCTCTCTCTTCTTATAAACTCCAGAACCCTCCCAGCTCAGTGGAAAGAATAAATTCCTTCCTCAGTCCGTAGCACTGCTCAGCCTGCCCTGTTCTCCTGAGGACCGAGGGACCACAAACGCAATTTGAGCCACAAAACACACTGCTTCACATCTTCTCTTCTTCAGTCATTTCCTCTGTCACTTCCTGTAATGTCCCGGACACACCCCGCCCATAGCTTCCTCCCCGCTTCTGTCTGGGAGTAAGTGAGGACCTGTGATAAGATAGAGGCATGGACTAGAAGTTTAAAAAGAGAAAGAGGGGTGATCCTGGCCCTCCTGAGAGAGCCCCATCTTTCCAGGTCTGAAGAGAACAAAGGGAGCTTGTTTACCCATTGTGCTTATCAAGCAACCGAACAGTCTCCACCTTCCTGGAGTTCGGGGCATAAGGGAGAAACTAGGTTCACCAAAGAAAGACCAGCCAACCTGCTATCCCCAAATCAGAGTCACAGAGGCCTGACCCTCCCACTAGGTAAGACCTCCCATCCTGGAGGGTCAAATTCCTACTTTGACTATTGGAACTGTGTAGCCTCCACTGGCTGCAATCTATTTCCTCTCCACCCTCCCAAAAGTCATTAGGGGACTTGGTTCAAAAGCAATTTGTTTGATTCAATCCCGTGACTAGCAATGGCAATAAGGAACTTTGGCGATCATCCCATCTCAACTTGTGACATTCTAAATAACCTCAATGGGCCAAAGTTATATGGCCAGTTAATTTTATTCAACAAACATTTCTTGGGCACTTACTGTACTAGAAGTGTGTCTGTGTGTTGGGGGGGGACAGGGGTGGAAGATATTCTGAGTAGAGGATTCAGGGTGAAGCAATGTAAAACCTTTCATTTTCATATGGGTGATACATGACATTTTATTAAATCTTCAAATCAGTAGTACATGTGAGGAGGAATGCTAGCTTAAAGTTAGAAAATTTTTTTAAAAAATGAAAAAAAAAACTATCCTACCATGCATGTCTTTCTTCCCCAGTTGCTGGGACCAGTAGCTGCTGAGAACAGCATGTGCAGACCCTTAAAAGAAGTGAAAAGTTATGATACAAAAACAGGGGTGACATTGTGGTAAATTTATAAGCAATTACAACCAACTATCTGGTTTGACTAAACCTTAAGTGACTTGATCATGATGTTGGCCAGGGCCACAGCAGAGTGTGGAATTATGAATGGACACAGAAAGGAAGACACAGAATTTATGGATAAGTTCCTCCAAATAATGTATCTGCTCTGTTTTACACTTTCTGCAGGCGAATTAAACTGCAGGGTCTTTTTTTCTAATGTTTTAATTTGAGTCTAGTTGACACACAATGTTACCTTAGTTTCAGGTGTACAACATAGTGATTAAACTTCTCTGTATGTTATCCTGTGCTCACCGCAAGTAGAGCTACCATCCGTCACCATACAATGCTATTACAGTATCATCGACTATATTCCCTGTGCTGTGCCTCTTATTCTTGTGGCTTATTCATTCCATAACTGAAAGCCTGTACCTCCCACTCCCCTTCACCCTTTTCACCCATCCCCCCAACCCCCTTCCCTCTGGAAACCATCAGTTTGTTCTCTGTATTTATAGGTTTGATTCTGCTTTTTGTTTATTCGTTTTGCTTTTTAGATTCCACACATGAGTGAAATCATATGATATTTGTCTTTCTCAGTCTGACATATTTCACTTAACATAATACCTCTAGGTCCATCCATGTTGTTGCAAATCGCAAAAATCTCATTCTTTTTTATGGCTGCATAATATTCTAGTGTGTGTGTGTGTATGCGTATATACACACATCACATCTTCTTTATCCATTCATCTATCAGTGGACATTTGGGTTGCTTCCATATCTTGGCTATGTAAATAATGCAATAAACATAGAGGTGCATATATCTTTTTGAATTAGTTAAACTGCAGGTTTTAATTCTTGTCCTGTCTATCAGTTCATTGTCAGGCCACGGTAAGAAGATCAAGGGTTTCACCTAAATCTTTCTCTAATCTTTCAAGGGAAAATATCTCCTTCCTCCAAGGATGAACATGCAAGGAAAACTGGGAACTCTGACAAAAGGTTCAATTTTCCACCAAGACAACATTTTTAGGCTTTTAGTGCCAAAAGAACTTTCTTTTAGTGAGGCATTTTTTTTTCACTTCTTTGTGCCCTAGTTTTAGATCAGTGAATAGATATTAAAATGAAGAAACAAAATGTAAAGTAATAACTGACAGAAGAGTCTTTGGGGGAGAAAAGGATGGGTTTTCTTCAGGAAAACTTACTAAATATCATGGGAGGTCCACCTAGGATGACCAGTCATCCCAGTTCGCCCAAGACTGTCCTGGTTTTAGCATCAAAGGTCCTGTATGCTGAGGAATCCTTCAGTCTCAAGCAAGCTGAGATGGTTGATCATCACTGTCCAAAGACCTTCCCACTTTAGAAAAGCATTATTACAGGGGGAAACACTTGCTCTCTGTACCAGTTAAAATCTTTGTGAAGCATGTGTAAATATACTCGAAATTTCTTTTCCATGGGGGAGGGTCAAGCTGTACTGTTTGGATGTCATGGGGCATTTTCCTGCGTCTTTAAGAAAATGCTTTGCTGAGCTTTGAATTTCATGTGTTTTGTTTCTCAGAGAGTAACTAGGTCAAAGTCCTGAAACAATCCCAGTCTCTGTCTTCTGTTCAGAGCAGGAGCCTCAGAGGTTCTTCCCAGCCTCCTCCTGCCCTGACCACCATCCAATCCGCCGGCCTCCTCTGTCAAGCATTCCCCCCTTTTTCTGCTCAGCCCACTCTAAGAGGATGAAAGGAGGAAGCGTCACATCCTTGCCCATCTTTGATTTCATCCCTCTGCTTCTGGTTGGTAGATCTTTTTTTTTTTTTTAAATTTTATTTATTTATTTGACAGAGAGAGGGAACACAAGCAGGGGGAGTGGGAGAGGGAGAAGCAGGCTTCCCGCGGAGCAGGGAGCCCGATGCGGGGCTCGATCCCAGGACCCTGGGATCATGACCTGAGCCGAAGGCAGACGCTTAACGACTGAGCCACCCAGGCGCCCCTGGTTGGTAGATCTTGAATACCCACGTTCCCAAACCCATCCCACCCACCTTGGGGGCAGGTCTGGGAAAGCTATTCCTGTCTGTATTTCCCACCTACAACCCAGGAATTTATCCTTCAAAAAATAAATCTTATTTAGGTGCCAATGATCACACAGGCTGGTCATTGAAAAAAAACAAAAGGCTTTGTGACTATAGTGGAAATTGGCCCCTGAATTTTGCAAATGGCAGATCTGGAAGCATTGGTTCAGGGAACCAGTTCTGTCATTATTATTAAAATAGCTAATAGTTATTGGGTACTTATCATGTGCCAGGCACTGTGCTAAGCATTTACCATGTATTGTTTTTACATAACCCTATGAAATATTACTCATACTTTATAGAGGAGGGAATATAAACTTTATTTTTTTAGTTTTTACTTAAATTCTAGTTAGTTAACAGATAGTGTAATATTGGTTTCAGGAGTAGAATTCAGTGATTCATCACTTACATGTAACACCCAGTGCTCATCACAAGGGGAATGGAAACTTTAAAAAAAAGTTAAGTCATTTGCCCAAGGTCAACAGCTAGGCAGCTAGGATGCAAACCCAGGCTGTCGGACGTGAAGGTTTAACCCTGCTATATATACTGTCTCCTTAATTCTTAGTTTTCACACAAGACTTCAGTGAAAGAATGGGGAGGGGAAGATAGGGAAACAAAAACAGCTAAAAACCGAA